GTGTGTGTGTGTGTGTGTGTGTGTGTGTGTGTGTGTGTGTGAGATATTTGATTTAATCAGGTAGATCTCCCTTAAATTTAGATTTTTATGAGAGATTTAAGTGTCCCTTAAAAAAGGATTTTTAAGGTCTAAATTTTTTTACCTATACATATTTATTTCTCTCAATTAATGTGTGATTTATTTATTTTCTATTATTTTATATCGTGATATATATATCATTACTGCCACTCATCATAATGTATATCGTGATATGTATTTTTTTGCCATATCGCACATTCCTACTCTGCACCCTTTTCATTCACAGCATGATTTACTTTTTATTTTTATTTTAGTGTATATAGATTGTTTTGATTTTATGAATGAAATTAAAAATGGGGGAAAAAGTGGTTATTATAATGATGAAAACACATGTAAAATCATCTACAGGAGTGTTTGTATAAAGACTTGAATCATTCAGTATTTTACATTACCTCTATCTTTTCTTGAGACACTTGTTTTCTTTCCGCAGTGGCAGATTTTTTCTGGTTGAAGTGAAACTGTGTGTCCTCTTTAGCCTTCATCAGGTCTTCTTTCTTCTTTTGGTATTCAGCGGCCAATTCCTTGGACTGACTGATGGTCTCCAACATCTTGGTTCTCTCCTTTGGGTCCTTCAAAGCAATGGACTCTACCTCCCCCTAGTGATGAGCAGAGGAAATTACACATTGAAATTTATTTTCATGTTAAATTTTTTTTTATTTTAAATCAGTTATGAGTCTACTGAAGCACAATTTGATTCCACTTTTTGACAGTGATCAATAATTTCTTGTAAAAATTTCATCTAACAGTTCACTCAAAACATTTGGTAGTATGCTTGATGAATAAAGACATTTTGGAATCTATTGTATCTATTTACTGCATCTTCTTTGTAATCATCTCTGCATGCTTTTAGAGATTAGGGGCAGTAGTTAGCAATGTCACACAACAATAAGAAGGTTTTTATCTCAAACCTGACAAGTGTCAATTAAAGGTGTCCCCAAATATTTTCGTTCTGTAGCCATAATTTTCCAAGCAGACTGTGGAGTGGCTGACCTTTGATGTAGATAGATAAATGAATGAATAAAGTTGAATAATATTAATAATAAATAAATAAAGAGCCTGAGGGACATTTACAGCCTTGAGAGTGACATGTGCCAAGGTTCTGCATCAGTGTGTTCCCCTCATTAAAAATAAGTGCCAGACTGATCCAGTTGGTAACATACAGTTTAAAATCCTCCCAATAAAAACGTAAATAAAAAAATTATGAATCTGTTAATCCCAATGGGCCCGGTACAGAGACCACAAGTGAAATGAAGGAGAAAATTCTTCTAAAACCCTGTGGACTTAAAGGGTTAAATCTGAACAATTGTTTTTTCTTCTCAGTTGCTTTGAAGTTGATTTAAAATAAGAACGGCAAAATGTCTTAAATGCTGACATTTTTTCTCCTTCTCATGTTTTTATCCTTCAGTAACCTTTACACTCACTGGCCACCACTTGATAATCACTAGACATGTGTGAAATAGTGATGGTACAACCTAAAGCAAAAATATCACAGTTTCACTGTATCACAGTATTATGATTATAGCTCTAAAATGTGTTATTTTGAAATTGTATTTATAACAAAAAAGAAAACTTTTCTACTGTCATAACTACAATTGTCTTTTTATTGATGTAATGTAACAAGTTGGGAGTTTTTATTGTATTTTAGAGTCCGAAGGGGCGTTTGAAAGGAAGATTATGAATATAAATCATTACAAGCACTAGGGCTGCGCGGTATATGCGGTACACGGTAGAAACAGTATGAAGTTGGCCTATGGTAGAGATTTACCCTCTACCGTCCTATCGTCATTACGTCATCACACAGGGCTTCGAGTGCAGACAACTGAGCAGGAGTTTGAAATATAATGAAGAAATTCTAGTGTTTTAAAACACGTATATAGAGAGAATAAATCCTCAAAATATCCCCCTACCGAAGTAGAAAAGTTACGTCGTGTCGCAGGATCATAATCTCTCCCTCTCCTCTCGCTGCACGTCACGCAAAGCGAAGTTTTAACAATTGTAGTTTTTCACACCCAATTGACGGAGAAAAAACTTGTTTTTAAAGTATTGTTACTCAAAGAGACGATTAAAAAAAGACGTGGACGTTCGTTCAGTCATAAATAAAGACTACCTGACAAACAGACCACAGTTTGTTAGACTGAAGGACTGTGTGTCTAACCAGGTGGTCAGCAGCACAGGAGCACCACAGGGAACTGTACTCTCACCATTCCTGTTCACACTGTACACTTCAGACTTCCAGCACAAGTCAGACTGCTGTCATCTACAGAAATACTCAGATGACTCTGCAGTTGTTGGGTGTATCAGAGATGGACAGGAAGCTGAGTACAGAGAGCTGGTGGACCGCTTTGTGACATGGTGTGGGAACAATCATCTCATCTTGAATGGGAACAAAACAAAGGAGATGATTGTAGATTTCAGGAGAAATAGTGCTAGATCAAACCCTGTTTCCATCATGGGAGAAGAAGTGGAGGTGGTTGAGGAATATAAATACCTCGGTGTTCATCTGGACAACAGACTGGACTGGAGACTCAACAATGAAGCAGTCTACAAGAAAGGACAGAGCTGACTGTACTTCTTAAGGAAGCTGAGATCCTTCAATGTCTGCAGCAAGATGCTGCAGATCTTCTACAAGTCTGTTGTTGAGAGCGTCATCTCTTCTGCCATCATCTGTTGGGGCAGCAGCATCAGAGCCAGGGACCTAAAAAGGCTAAACAACCTGATAAAGAAGGCTGGTTCTGTTCTGGGGACAACTGTGGAATCTCTGGAGATGATGGTGCAAAGAAGGATTTTACATCAAATCAAGAACATTGTGGACAACCCTGACCGTCCTCTTCATCAGACTGTCATAGAAAGACAAAGTGTCTTCAGTCGGAGGCTTCTTCAACTTCGCTGTAATACAGACCGCTACAGAAGATCTTTCCTGCCCACAGCCATCAGCATCTACAATAAGTTTTTAGTTAAATGAGTTACAACAACACCTAATTTCCCTCTGGGATCAATAAAGTATTTTTGAATTGAATTGAAATCCATCTTACTAATGTAAAGTTGGGTTCTGCTCTGATGATGAAGATGAGCGCGTGGCGGAGCAGCAGCTGTTTAGCAGGCAGAAGTTCATTGTTTGGCAGGCAGATATTAAAGCAAAAACGTTGGGTTTAATTAGTATTGCACTGCCAAATTCAATAGAATGGGAGAGCAGCTTGCTTCCTCTGGCTGTCACTCTCAGCCAGCATTTTTTGCACCTACAGGGTTTCCCCTACATGTAAATGATAGTGGCGCACCACCACGGCTAAATAAAAGCCGCCACACCTTTGGAATGAAGTTTTTTTTTAATCAACGTAAAACAGGGGTTGACGCAATCATTGTTTAGTTTGTCCGAGACAACATATTTTCATTTCAGACAACCAGATCCCACCTCCCAGTTGTCCAGTGGACAACCAAGAAAAAAAAACCTGGATTAAAGTTTTCCTCCGCATGTGTTCGTCATTGTAAAAATGAACGGGAGAGAAAAAAAACTTGCTAAAGCTGTCTAAGGATTAAACTGACGGTTCTTTCACCCAATAAAGAGAACCAAAGTCAAAGTTTTACCCAATCAGAACAGAGCAGGGCGGGTCGTACCGTCTGACTGACAGCGCTTCCTTTTTCCTCTCTCTGTGATGGAGGGTCAGCTCGGCTCAGACGAACATGTCCCAGGCCCTCAGCGTTTCCTGGACTATTTCCAACGAGGATTACGTCATATTTTATATACTGTATATAAATTATATTCCTAAAGGCAGCTCACAGCATTTCTACCGGAACACCGTGTGTTCACGACTCGAGCACAACAAAACCGCGACAGATCACCTGACTGTTTTTAAAGCGAGGGCTCAGGGAGGCAGCTTGACCAGCAGCTGCCCCTCTCCACACACATCGCGGCTCTGACAAGCCCAGGACTTTAAAGTCCACATGTCAACCCCTTTAGACGGTTACTTGTATAATGAGCATCAAAAATCTGTAATTTGCACAAAAAAAAATCAGTATTAATCACACGCAGGTGGAGTGGAGGTGCAAGCGGACAGCAGCTGTGCGGGGTGGGGGGGGTGGGGGTCTTTTAAAGTAGTGTCTACGTTTGACTTTTACTTTTTCTAAAATCAGAGTTCTCTGAGTCAGCTTCAGATGTTTGTAGTTAATATCTTCTAAATTTAACCAGGTGTTTCAATGCCTTTAAATTACACAATAACTTTAATGGAGAAACTTGTCAGTTTGGTTTAAAAAAAAACAGTAAAAATAAATTTTTTTTTTCCTGTGCAAAGAACTTCCTCTGCTATAATTTTTTTTAAATAAATATATCAAAGCCCCTCAGTTGAAAACACTAAAATTATAATTAAAAACCTCTTTCCTCCGAAAGTCTTCAGTCCTAAGAACACTAAACTCTAACTTTTAATAAGGTCATGTACACAGTTTAATCCTTTTCAAATAAAAATGTTTGACCTGTAAGCAGAAAGCTTATGGATGACGTTGATTTTTGGTCTCTATTTCAAAGAGGATGAGGAGGAGAATGAGGAAGTTCTCCTCAGGCAGCTCCTAAAACTGTTAACCTGCTGACTGAGAACATTTGTATGTACTAAACTTTGTATACATAACAATATACTTGTTAAATTACATTTTAAACACCCCCCGCCCCACCGTGCTCATGAGAGGTCACCACACCACCACGGTTAAAAAAAAATTCTAGTGGAAACCCTGACAGAGTCAACCTTCTTCCTCCAAGCCCTTGCCGTCTGTCTTTTTATGGTAGCCGAATTAATCCCAAGCTTTATTATTTTAAATGAGGGAAAATGTTCTGGGAACTCGCCACCTACAGCCATCATACAATTTGCAGAGCTGGCAGCTAATGCAGGGGTGTGCAGGGAGAGGGGTCGTGACCCTGCAGCTGAACACAAACGGAGGGATTTGACCTCCATTTTCTCTCTGAGACATAAAAAATGTTCATACCGCAGGAACTGAAATACAGAAAATGTTAGCAGTTTTCAATCAGCGACTTTTTCATACTGTGGTGTACCATTAAACCTTTATCCAGACCATGTCTAATAATCACTGGTGCATTTTCTCTCTCTGACCATTAGAATGTTCTTCAGGCACTTCAGTTTCCTCCCACATTCAATTGGTAATCCAAGTGTGTACTAACATGCTGACAATATTAACAGGTAGCACGAAGCATACTCCCTATAACCCTGAAAAGATTAAAGTGAGTGTGGTACCTGAATGGACATCAAGTTACCTGAAACACCAGACAGTTCTGAGCTTTGGTCACGATGCCAATCTTCGCAAGTTCTTCAACGTATTTAGAATGCACAACATGAGCACCGTTAATGTGATAGGCAGACGAGTCCCCTGAAAAATACAAAAAAACAGCAGCTGAGGATATTAAACAGACTTAGAAAACACTATAGTCCAACCACAAGTCTGTCTCACAAAATGCAGAGTGGTATTCATACTGTATAAGTCCCAGAATGTTTCAGAGCAATTTATTTCTTGCAGTGTTAAAACAAGTCATCGGCTACATTACAATGACTGAGATAGATTTATATTTCTGTGTGCCCCTTTAAAATATAGATTTTCTTATTTCATCAGTTGAACAGACTTTTACTATTTGTGATTGTTTAAACATTTAGGTCATTAGACCTCAATTTGCCTGATGAAGATTTGGTGACCAAAACATTGCAAAAATAAATTTCTGCAAGTTTGGATGGTGTGCAGAACTGCCTTTTTGCTTATTTGGACTGACTTTTATTCTCCTATGTATATGTCTCAAGCAGTAAATGTAAAGATGGTTACCATTTTTATCCGAAAACGAATCTGTTCATTTTGTTAGCACAGATTTGTAGTTAGTGACAGTGGATTGAAAGATCTCCCTCTCTGTCATATACTAATATTTGAAACACTATGGTGTTTTGCTCTTGGATGACCCATATTTTATTAATAACGGTTAATTACATACAGATTATTGCATTTTATGTTGATAGATGTATTGGTCATTAATTTAAATTTATAGTGATAGTAAAAAATAACAAACTGACATTTTCAAGTTTGCACTGAACGGGGCTGCATTCACATAAAAAGGCTTGTTTTCGCTAAGTATTGCGATCTGATTAGCCATCCCAGAGAATTGTAAAGAAATGTGCAAATATTAAGTTCAGACCGAGGTAGGCTGATATACTGACCGGTTACTTTCCGACAAAACACCACCTCTCTGTCCTCTTCATCGCAGTAGCGTAGGGCCACACTGGCGGTGGTGGACACCGGCTTACCGATGTGCGCTCCGTGAACCAGGTCTCTGAGGTGCTTCACCCGGAGAGCGGCTGCCCGCTCCCCCAAAGCGAAGCTCAGGGCGTCCATCACGTTGGACTTCCCTGGTGGATAGATCGTATCTTCAATTTATCTTTTAACGACTACCTTAAATTACCTAAGTGTTTGAAAGATGTCCAAAAGAAAAGAAAAAGCTGATAACCAAGCTTAGCTTGGCGGTCAGCATCAATTTGTTTTAGCTTGAAGCTAAACTTAGCAAAAGAGAAAAAAATCAGCCAGTGTCAATAAGACGTGTCTTTTCTGTATATAAAATCGTACTTCTAGGGTTAAGCAAACCGTACTAGCCTCTGATTTTGCTAACAAACCTTCTGAACTTAGTCTTTTAAAAATATTACAACTTAGCTATCAATTTTAGTAAGGTTAATTACACATTTTAGCTAGGTTAGCAAGCAATAACTTGGCTAAGTGAATATAAAGTCCTCTTACCAGAGCCATTTGTGCCAATAATACAGTTGAACCGCATAAAAGGACCGATAACTTGTTTCCCACGCCATGACTTGAAGTTTTCAACATCAATTTGTTTTAGATAACCCATCCTAACAGGATGGTCGTGTCCAGAAGTGGCTGCTTTTCAGAGACAGCCCGACGAAAAATCAGCTAAAGCAGGCCAGGTGTCCGAGGCGGGAAATAGTGCTGTGCGGATCAATACTGAAATATTGATACCAAAACTTTATGGTCTAGAATCGATACTGAAATCAAAATATTGAAACTTCGGTCTTTTTAGGTTTACAAGAAAACTGTGGAAAACTACTAAACTATTAAAATCTTGCCTAAATCATTTGTGGCTGGAAGGAACTACTTTTTCTTCCGCTTGGGTGTAAAGCACAGTTGCATGTGCCCAGTCAGTCGCTCAGTTACAGGTATGGCAGGTCATTTGAACATAAAATCAGCTTCATCTGATTCTGGTTCCCACATTTTTTCATGCCACGGCCCCCCAAATAGCATTAGCTTATGGCCAGGGACCCTCTTGCAAACCCACAAATAATGCTACAAAAAATGTGAAGACTCAACAGCTTTTAAAGGTTTCTTTATTATTATTTTTTTTCATTTTTTATTTTTTACTTTTATTCACCATTCAAAAAATATTTGTTAAGCAAAATAATTTTAAATCATGCTAAAGAAACAAAACAGGGTTAAGGTTAGAAAAAAACTTTTAAATAAATAAATAAATAAATTACTCTGTCATGTATTCTTTATGAAGCGGTTATTTGAAAAAATGCTATTTTGTTTTTTAGATTTACCAGACACATTGTCTTTGCATGGTATCAGTATCAGTATTGCTGATAGCAGCCTGAGTTTTACTCGGTATCGGTATTGGAAAATAAATTGACAGTAAAGCTTTAAAACTGAACATCTCTAACATAGATTCTCAGACATGCACACTTCCTGTTCATGAAAATAATAATTTTGTTTTTGTTACCAACTTTGACTTTTTTTAAATAATTGCTTAGTATCACATTATTTGATATCTGTTAAACAGCCTCAGTTTGAATAAACAATAATAATTCCTCACTTAACACAAATGTCATTGTTCCATTGAAATGTTCCATTCTGGATGTAAATTGCAGTGTTCACTATAAGTTTTGGGGTTTTGTTTTTGTTTGTACGAAAGCGGACATTTTCCGCAAACAATTTTTTCCATGGTTTTCTCATGATGATAACGTATGTCGTGGACAAAAAATAACAATGGTTTTCTCAAGATAACATGTTGGTGTCCCTGCATCATTCAGTAACAATGGAGATGGCCTGGTTCCCTCAGCTGATCACTGATGAGCTTTATTGTATCAGCAGGATCACTCAAATGTAAATGCATGTTGAGCTGCAGTCATGCCAGCTGTCTCCTTAAATGACGAGGCTTGATATGAAAGCTATCTGTACAAGACAAAGAAACTGCTATTTCAGCCTGTATTATAATAGTAAACTTCATTGATGATCGCTAAGGGGACCGGGCCTTTTTCCTCCCAGTTCTCCACATTGTTTTTTTGTTGTCACACTGAACATTCTGAAGTATAAAATACAAAAATGACAAAGTAACAAATAGTTTTACAATCATACATATATACTATTTTTTGGATAGTACAACCACTTAGAGGATGAAAGTGAGTAATATTATGTCTTACTTTTTATTTTCTACTGCCAAAAGACAAAGGATGATGTTGTTGCCCATGTTTGTTCGTCTATTACCAAAATATCTTATGGATCACTGGGCAAATTTAACAAAACTTCCAGATGTAAGAATCTGTATTTTGTTATTTAGTTTCTTGAGTTCATCCATCCATCCATCCATCCATCCATCCATCCATCCATCCATCCATCCATCCATCCATCCATCCATCCATCCGTCCATCCATCCGTCCATCCATCCATCCATCCATCCATCCATCCATCCATCCATCCATCCATCCATCCATCCATCCATCCATCTTCTAGAGTTAGGTCATGAGGGCAGCGGCTTGAGCAGTGAGGTCCAGACATCTTTCCTCAGCCACCTCTCCTGGCTCTAAGGAAGTGTCCAGCTAACCTGCCCACATTTCCACTGTCTGTATCCGCAATCTCGTTACATCAGGGTTTGTGGCTATAGGTGAGGGTAGAAATGTAGACCAACTGGTAGACATGGTTTCTCCTTACAGCTCAGCTCCCCTTTATCACAATCAACTGACAGAGTCCACAATATGGTGGATGCTGCTTTTAAGTTTTATTCCCGTCGTGATTTATCCATTTTATTTTATTTTTTGTCTTTGGGTTCTTTGTGTTTGAGTTCTGTACCTTGTACTTCCGTCATTAATCCATGCACCAACATCACCCACTCTCACCTGGTCTTCATGGTCTCTCCCCAAGTGTGTGTCATTTCTCCATGATTGGTCTACCTTTATATTCCATATTCTGTTGCTTGATCCTCATCCATGCATCACATTTTTTCATGTTTGTTTCTACATGTGCTCTTCAGTTAGCCACTCCTGTGAGTAGTTTTTGCCATTATGTCAGCTTTTGTCTTTAATAATAAAATTATTTTTATTTCACTCCTGAGTTCTTTCACTTCTCTGTTTGCACCTTGGGTTTTACCATATTCCTGTCTCTGCAACTAATTCATCTTTGGAGTCAGCTTGATTAAAGATGGCTGACACTGACCTTAATCAATCTTGTAGATATTGACCTAGAACTTGGCGCGACAGTGAAACTGATTACCATCATAAACACTGAGCGCTAAACACACAGAATAAAATATCACATGAACTATTGGAGTTTTTATTTTTATTTTTCTATGAACCTTCTAGAACAATCGTTGAATGTGTATCTAAATGGGATAACCTTTTGGAGGTTATGCAATTAAAGATGTACATCAGTGGTTCCCAAACTTTTTATCTTCTGACCCACAAACTATCTATGGCAAAAACTTGTGACCCCAAATATTACTGGTCTGAGTACACGAACTTCATTAATAACCCTAAAAACACAGGCTTTTTGACAATCTAAACAGCTTGTAACAAATTTACATACTTGTTTATATTTATTTTGTGTTTTGTAATAATTATAGGGAAATATTACATCAGCAATTATTTTATTACCCTTTAAATTGATTTCTGGAGATTATCCAAGGTACTTCATGACTCATAATTGGGTCCCAAGTCCAACTTTGGGAACCAAAGTGCAGTGGTTCCCAAACTTTTCAGCTTTTGACCCACAAAATAACAGTAGCAGAGACCTGTGCCCCCAGCTATTTTTGGATGATAAACATTTGTATCAGGTCAACTAAACATGGGCATAGTAACAATATTTTTATACTACATTTATCCATTTTAAATACACTAACCTCACTACTTTGCAACTACTAAGGCAAAAATGTAATTAAATCAGAAAATATTTTCAGGACCCCATCTTGGTGTTTCGGGACCCCACTTTGGGTCCCGACCCCGACTTTGGGAAACACTGATGTACAGTACATATATACTGTATACAGTACATACTGAGATACAAATTGATGTGGTAGTAGCTGAGATCATGCAATGTATGTGTAATTTATTTAACACTAACTGTAGCACCTCCAGCCATGACTCAGTAAAACTTATTAAGTTTGCGGACGACACACCACCCTCATCGGGCTCATCTCGGATGGCGATGAGTCTGCGTACAGGTGGGAGGTGGACCGGCTGGTGACCTGGTGCAGCAGCAACAACCTGGAGCTCAACACCCAGAAAACAGTAGAGATGATTGTGGACTACATAAAGGCCACAGATCCTCTGCCTCCCCCCCACCCCCACCCTTAACGAGACCCCCATCTCAACTGTAGCCTGCTAGGTTCCTCGGGACCACCATCACCCAGGACCTCAAGACCATCGGTTCCCTCATCAAGAAGGCCCAGCAGAGGATGTACTTCCTGTGACAACTGAAGAAAGCTAAGCTGCCGGCCAGGCTGATGGTGCAATTCTACACGGCCATCATGGAGTCTATCCTCAGCTCCTCCATCATGGTGTGGTATGCCGGGGCCACTGCCAGGGACAGACACAGACTGCAGCGTGTTGTGCGCTCTGCTGAGAAGGTGATCGGCTGCAGCATCCCAGCTCTCCATGACCTGTACGTCTACAGGACTGTGAGGAGAGCAGGTGGGATCACAGCTGACCCTTCTCACCCTGTACACAACCTGTTCATACAACTCCCCTCAGGCAGAAGGTTTCAGTCCATTCGGACCAGAACATCCCACCATAAGAACAGTTTCTTTCCCTCTGCCGTCAGACTCTTGAACATTTGGAACACTTAGAACACGTGACTCTAAAACTCTGCCTTGGCCACTTATCACTGGTTTCTTAAACAGCACAACTCTGACCAGTGTTGTATAAAGTACCACAAAGTGATACTTGAGTAAAAGTACAAGTATCTTACCAAAAAATTACTTTGGTAAAAGTTCAAGTCTCCTTTAGGAATATTACTTGAGTAAAAGTAGAAGTATCTTACCCAAAAATTACTTTGGTAAAAGTTCAAGTCTCCTTCAGGTATATTACTTGAGTAAAAGTATTGATT